AATGTTTATTACTGACCTGTGTTACTCTTCACTACCATAAACTTTGACAGAGACTGTCACAACTACAAATGTTTATTACTGGCCTGTGTTACTCTTCACTACCATAAACTTTGACAGAGACTGTCACAAGTACAAATGTTTATTACTGACCTGTGTTACTCTTCACTACCATAAACTTTGACAGAGACTGTCACAACTACAAATGTTTATTACTGGCCTGTGTTACTCTTCACTACCATAAACTTTGACAGAGACTGTCACAAGTACAAATGTTTATTACTGGCCTGTGCTGGCTCTTCACTACCATAAGGTGTCTACCAACTGATAGTTTAATATAGCATTGAAATGCCAGAGATTTATCACTTCTTTTTAAATAGAGTATTGCTCCCATTCATGACTCACCCGCAAGCAGATAACTTTGGAAGGATTTTTCAACAAATCTGTGGTAGTGGCTCCAGGAATTTCAGCTCTGGCAGTTTCTGAGAGGGAAATAAGGAAAAAAGTTGAACTTGCATACGCATTTGGCAGGCTTTCTACAATATGTATTTATAGTAAACATGTAACTGAAAGATCTGAAGATTTGAAATTTCTCAGTATTTGAGGAAATAAAGTGAAAACAAGCAATTGTAACTGACCATGTATTATACTACCAGTACAGCTACCTTTTGCAATGTCCTTTTCATGAATAATTTTCCCGCCTCTTTTGCTCGTCTTCTCCACCTGAAGAGCCATGCTCATTCCCTGCTCCGACTTGCCAAGACCAGAGCCTTCCTTGTAGCCCATCCTAGCCATGATCTTACTGGCTACAGAACCCCTGAAATCACAAAAATAATACACTGACTCTTTAATGAACCTTTCTTAAGTATTCTATAAAAATAAACATTTAAAACAACTCTTACTGTAGTCTACAAATAAGCAGAAAAGATGGGTAGTGTGTGTACTTACGCCAAGCCAAAACTAAACCCTGGGGTTGGTCTGGGAGGTGTGCCTGACCCTGGGGAGTCAATAAAAACAAAATTAATCATTGTATCACTTCAATCTCCTTTGACAATTAAGAATGCTTTAACGACAATAAAAAATGCGGGGTTGAACTTATCCCTTTTGTCTATTCTACATTTTAAGTAGGGAACAAAACAGAAACTACACAATTTATGAACAATGTTAAAGTTTGTACCCTAAACTAAACAAAAACAATTGTATTAAAAATAATAATAATTTAACTAATTTTAAAGATTGTGCATCCCAATTTAATATGATTTAATATGATTTTAAAACTTCTTGTTCAACAACCATAAAAGATTTGATATACCATAAGTACATTGATGGTCATTAATCAAGAGTGCTTTATTTTGCTAAAGAAATTATCACATCCTTTCATAAAAGAGGAAAAATGTGGCCTACAGAAAAGTGAAGGATTAAAGTTGAGAACAAATGTTATTTGATCATCAGTAGAGCTCAGGTAGACATTCAAATTTATTAAACATGTTTCATAACAAATCTTATTTCATCATAAGTAGAGCTCAGGTAGACCTTCAAATTTATTAAACATATTTCATAACAAATGTTATTTCATCATCAGTAGAGCTGAGGTAGACCTTCAAATTTATTAAACATATTTTATAACAAAGTAAGCAAGGTGACGCAAGAAAACAGGAAACCCCTGTAATACCTACATAAGCACCAGTAATACCACATTTTCAAAGAAAGTAAATGTGTACCTTGTTCTTCCTGCAGAGGTGGCGCCACGTCCTCTTCAATCAATGCCTGGGGAGGGGCGATAGCTGCACCCATGCCTAGAATCATAAAATAACACTTAACATACTATATACACTACCAACTAGCTAGCATATGAACACCATTCTTTGATGCCAGATCAAGTATTTAACCCCTGCTTCAACCCCCAAGTTCCAAGCAGAGAGAGAGAGAGAGAGAGAGAGAGAGAGAGAGACAGCAGGTGCTCTTTATGAAGGACTAGTATAAAGGGAGCATTGACATGGCTATAAATACCTGTTCTCTTAGGTCTGTCGTACTGGTCATCATCTCCACCTCCTGCCACGCCCCCTGCCCCGCCCCCTTCCATGTCGTCATCTCTCCTCCTGCGCCTCCTTTCTTCTTCCTCTTCCACATCATAACCCAGCTCTTTGTGTCGTTCTCTTCTCCTCCTTTACAAAAAATACAAGCCACAGGTTACTAACACTGTATGTGAATCAAAACAAACCACATGATACATAAAAAAAACAGAAAAAAAACATATCATGCAGAATACAGGGTAAAAAAGATGAATTTCCAAGATCTGAGATTGCATGACCAACTATGTGTAAAAATGACCTATGTCATACATTTTATCAAACAAGCTGTTCTCTGCAGCTATTCCTTCAATATGAAAGCTACTGTGTTAGCTAGATTACCTGAGTGAAATTACAGGGTGGTCCATAAAAAAACCACCCATTTTACTTTCCTGTATAATAGTATTTACATATGTAGTCTTTTAAGGACCACCCTGTATATAAGGATCACATTACAATATAAACACTTTGATCTTCACTATTTTTTTCTACATAGTTTCCATGGTCTTTAAAGGAGAGTCTCTTTACTTTTAATTGAAAGCCATATGAACATTAACAGCCCATGAAAATATTTTTCAGCAACCTCTCTCTCTCCTCCATTTCTTTTTTCTTCTCATCGTCTCTTTCACGCTGTTTCTGTTGTTTTCTTTTCTTGACATAGTCCTCATAGTCATTTGGTCTGCGAGGGTCGTACTCATCCTGTACTCCAAGAAAAGAAGAGGTTGGCTCAGCACCAATGAAAGGTGCTGTTGCTGCAGGGGCTGATGGGATTGGGCCTGAAGCTCCGCCAGATTTTCTCTCACGCTGAAAACCAATAGTACAGCTATATCAATTCAAAAACACAATTTCAAAATAAATTTTAATCTTTCTTACAGCAGCAAATACATGCAAATCTCACACATAGTATAAAGGTTTTTACAACATGACTATATGTTTATCCATATGTTTATGTTTATCCATATTGACACCAGGGAATTGACCCCAGGAGCTAACCCCAGGGAGTTGACCCCAGGGTGCTGACTCCAGGAATTGACCCCAGGGAGTTGTCCCCAGGGAGTTGACCCCTGGGAGTTGACCTCAGGGTGCAGACCCCAGGATTTGATACTCAGACCCTTACCTTTCCTGTCTGCATGTTGAAGTGCAGTTCCTCAGATGTAGCACTCCTTTTTGGTTTCAAGTCAATGACAGGAGCTAGTGAGGGCCCTGCTTGCCTTTTCTGGAGTGTATAAATAACAACCATCACATATATGTTAAAACAGTCTTAAAGAACTAGTATTAAGTCTTCATCCACAGGCCCTAGTGAGGGCCCTGCTTGCCTTTTCTGGAGTGTATAAATAACAACCATCACATATATGTTAAAACAGTCTTAAAGAACTAGTATTCTGTCTTCATCCACAGGCGCTAGTGAGGGCCCTGCTTGCCTTTTCTGGAGTGTATAAATAACAACCATCACATATATGTTAAAACAGTCTTAAAGAACTAGTATTAAGTCTTCATCCACAGGAGCTAGTGAGGGCCCTGCTTGTCTTTTCTGGAGTATAACAACCATCACAAATATGTTAAAACAGTCTTAAAGAACTGTTTACAATCACAGCGATTGCCAGCTTGTCTTTTCAAAATTTTAAGAGAAGGTAACAATATTCAAGTAATCAACAGTTTATCGATGTGTAAAAAGCTTTACCTTAGTCTGGAGCAGGTTAGCCTTTTTAGCCTGGAGTTGGGAATGTAGAAGTTTGAAACCAGAAGACCATCCAGCTGAAAGTTGAGCAACACTTATCAATATCAATGTTAAAGTCACTATTTGCTGCTCTCCAGAGTAAAAATATTTTCTTTGTCAATGTAATCTAGGTATTAGCAGCTTACTAGAATAAAATGCCTGCAAATGAGTATCAAGGCTTCATCTTGCTTGGAAACAAACATGGGAAAACTTTGGAGATACTGAAAGACTAAAGGATCTGCACTACAAGAAATCTGCAGGTCCTCCCAATTTTGTGCTTGTCTGAACTAAGTATTTTATTTCCCTTAGTCTATGCCTAAATGTGATTTATCATTATGTATTGTATTTTCAAATAACCCTTGCTTGCCAGTCCAGACGACCTGCAATATCAAATAACACACAAATTATCTGGCATTTCAAGGAGTCAGTTTCTCCATCTCTGTAAAAGTGGAGAAACTGGCATGGGCTGAGACGTTTGGGACTCAAAGTCCAAGCTTATGCAGGCATAATACTTCAAAACAAAATCTGGTTTGGTTTATACATTGTTATCAAGACTCACCAATATCTGGTTTGGTTTATACATTGTTATCAAGACTCACCAATATCTGGTTTGGTTTATACATTGTTATCAAGACTCACCAATATCTGGTTTGGTTTATACATTGTTATCAAGACTCACCAATATCTGGTTTGGTCTCCTTTCCTCTCCCTGCATCAACATCCAAGTCATCATACAGGGACATACTTTCAACCTGAAGACATGAATAAATTCAGTTTCAAAGGAGCATCATTTTAAAGTTATTTACACCTGTATGTTTCATGTGTTGGAAACAAAAGCACAAATATAATGTAAATAGTCATAACCCAAATGCCCTGGACCATGTGTACTGGACATTGATTGTGGCATGAACCCTGAGTTCAACCACACTTGACAGGTCAATGAGCCACAAGTCTACCAAAATGCCAAATAAAGTAAAAAAAAAAAAATTAAACAATTAATCAAATTGCCATTTCATATTCATACACACATACTGTACAATTAAGCTTAGTTCAAAAATACACACACACATACACATATATATATATATATATATATATATATATATATATATATATATATATTATATTTGGCGATTTTATTAAAGTCGTAAAATTAAGTATATCTCACTGATTTTTATCGTGTGTTTAGCAACATAGAAGACTGAAATAATTTCCTCTGTCTGTAGGGTTCATAGACCGATCAAGGTGACATCAGAATGAGTGTTCAACATAGAAACAGTCGGCCATATACACCATTCAACTTCAACTGCAATTTTGTCCACTTCCAACGCATTTTAATACTGGGTCTGCAAAGTGCATAATCCTGGGTGGTGTATCTACATATTCTAAAAGTAAGGCAACAGACACGTATTTCTTACCTCGACCAAATACCTGGATCAAACTGTCTCGATTGCTACTTTCACATGCCGGATACCGGAAGCATGTGCCTGCGCGCGCACTTTGTTCATCAAAGACTGGCCACTCTCTGTTACACTTCATACTCTTGATACTAACTTTCAATATAATGAATAGATATTACAATATAAAAAGTTGCTCCAAACACGTTTAATTATGTCAGTAATATTGCCATGTATTTGGTTTATTCAGCTGGGAGAAACTAACGATGGGCCTGTCTTGTATAGTGACTGCCCAACCTCAGAGATTCACAGTTGTTAGAAGTATACTGTTATATATAACATGTTGAGTTAGTCAGAACTGGAAGGAACAAAAGGCAGAGGATAAATACAATCATTTTTCACTCCCTTCAACTCTGCCATTTGCCGAAAACATTTTTCACAGACGATGAACACAGCAAGAGCAATTTAAAAACTTGTAATTCAAATAAAAACTACACTCAAAAATGTTTTTGAGCTAATAATATGAAATGAACCTAGCAGATAAACTACAATTTGTAAGATAAACAGTCATTTTTCTATTATCATATTGATAATAATTATAACGAAATAAATATGATAATATTAGGATCAAAACAACAAACTCTTTATCCTATATTTACATAATTGTAATGCCAATTTTATTGCAAGAAAAATAACCTGAATAACATCATTGAACATAATTACTTGAAATATTACAAGTTGGTAATGTTAATACATATGCAGTACTAAAATAGTTAAATTATATGAGGACAAAGAAGCAAACTTCTTTGGAAAAAAATTACACCACTTCAACCTACGGTTGGTATCATTTCATAATAGAGAAATCACAAATAACCAATAAATAGAACATTAACATTATTCAACCTTCATACAAAATTTAACTATTTTCATATAATACAAAAATAGCCTTATAATTTCAAGTGTTCCTTACTTAATACCACATCCTCTCTGCCATGCTTGATCTTGCCCTTAATTGTTGGCAATATTGGTCATCTTAATTCATAAATGACAAGCTAAATCTGGACTATTGTCATGATGTCCGGCAGTGGTTCTGCTTTCTAGGACATAAACTATGGGTAAAGCAAGCTTGACCATTTCATAGAGTGCCATCTGTCATGTCCAAGAAGCAGGACTTAGATAACATTTCATCCTCTATGCTCTGGGATGCCATTGAAAATATTTTTGAAGTAACAGCATTTCTTCAAGGAATCAACTAAAACAAAAAACAAAACAGCTGTTCCAAAATGGAACACAACAGTTTGATAAAACTCAGTAAATTTTGTAATGTAGTGTATTCAATCCAAAAGTACTCTGCATACAATCAATAATAAACCTCAATGGAAAAATATAGCTGCCTTTTCAACAAGTATATTCCATTGGGCAAAACATGTATGATAATTTAAAATCACATGTGGACAAAACAGATGCAAAAGCAACTCATGCAATGCTTTCTCCATACAGTGATCTTTTTAAATCAGTCCTGAACATAGAAAATATATCTTATACTGTATTCTTTTCACTGCAAGGACCAGTCACATAGATATTTTGTACACTAACTGCTTCAGGTACATAAGTCATGTACTGCAGTGTAGCATTTAAAATGTTTTTCCTGCTAGCTAAACTCAAATTAAGTAAAATTCACAGCATAATGTCTGGTTTATAATACCTTGAGCTTCTGAGCTAACTTTAATCTAACATCACTGAGGCTCAGATATGACAAGTCTCATGCACCTGCCACTGGAGCAGCTAACTTTAATCTTACATCACTGAGACCCAAACAAGTCTGCAAATGTGAACCTGAAGCTGGCCAGTAATGTCTCAGAAACACAACCCAGGGTTATAAATAATACAAAAGAGCTAAAAACAATTGTCTATAATAATTTAAAAAATACAAATAATTGGGGCGTTATAATTACTAATATGTACAATCTCAAAATACAGGATGAACAAAACAATGGAGCAATAAAAAGTATTTACATTTCTTATTAAATAATTATATATAATCACACAAAGAGCTTCAGACCACTTTCTTCAGGTACTCAAAGTATATGCTTCTATCTAAAGTTTTCTTCACAATCACCCCAGTATTAATGACAGCATCTCAGCAGGGACATCAGATGCCACACAAATTCTGATAATACTATTTCCCCATCTGATCACTTTTAACGTCTGCAAGAACTTCACCACTTCGCTGTATGGCCCGTCTTGAAATGGTGGTCCACCTATACCTCTGCAGTACATTCACGGGCAAAGTGACCATAACCTTCACACTTGCGGCACTGGACATCCCTCTTGGCATCTGAGGCACCGGGACAGTCCCTGGAATAGTGACCGGCCTCTCCACACCTAGAAGGATGATTTTTGGTAATGAAAATACTTCAAAACATGGACTATCTACACCTAAGAGGATGAAAAATGGCGATGAACATACTTCAGAATATGCATTCTCCACACCCAAGACAAGAGGGTGAATAATAGGGATGAAAATATCTAAAAACAAACTATTAGTTGCCTGCCATTGTATTGGCTCAATCAATGTAATACATTTAGAAATAAGCAGAAGATCTTACGTGTAACAGGTGTCACCACCACCCCCTCCACTGGGGCAGTCACGGGCAAAGTGACCATTATTGCCACAGTTGTAACATTTGCTGCTCCTCCTTCCAGTGCTGCCTTCATACTGGGCCTCGGGGCAATCCCGTGCCATGTGGCCCTCTTGCTGACAGTTGTAGCATCGGGCCCCGCCAGTGTCGCTGTGGGCCTCGGGACAATCACGAGCAATGTGGCCCTCTTGCTGGCATTTATAGCAGGTCTTACTGCCCTCTGGTGGGGCGTCGGGGCAGTCTCGCTTCAGGTGACCACTTTTTCCACAAGTGTAGCAGGCACCTGTAAAGATACAATCCATGATTTTAACATAAACATACAATCATTTCTAAACTAATACACTTTAAACTGTATCAAGAAGTAGAGTAGAATCTGTGTTCTTCATAAGCAAGACTGAGCTAAATGACATAAATTTCCTCATGGAGTATAAGCTGGGCAATCAGTCAGTTAATATGGGAGAAATTATCTATGTGTGCATAAGTGTATGTGTGTATGTGTGAAGTGTATGTGTATAAGTGTATGTGTGCATGTGTGAAGTGTATGTGTGCATGTGTGAAGTGTGTGTATAAGTGTATGTGTGCACGTGTGTTTGTGCAGTGTGTGTGTGTATAAATGTGTGTGTGCATATGTGTGTGTTTGTGCGAAGTGTGTGTGTGCATGTGTGTGTTTTTGCGAAGTGTGTGCGTGTGTGACACTGAAAGTGCAGTTGGACAAACACTTCTGCTGCATATACCCTTTGTTATCAATATCAATAATTTCCAAGATTAATAAGTCAATAGTTTCTAAAGAAAATAACTGGATGTGTTATTTCTTACATACATCTTCTACATCTTCAAGAGGATTTAATACCAACCATCACAACATAAATCAGTTATGAGATCAAGACCCACTGTCAACACTACACCAGGGGCATCTCACAACTCATTTTATTAATATTTTCCTGATGTGCTAAAATCATCTGGATTAAGTTTAAATACCAAAAAGAAGAAGATTATCATCAGTGGTCAAATAATTTATTTCATGTTAACAAGAGATCAACAAACCTGACTCAATTTCTTTGGGGCAGTCCTTAGCGATATGGCCTAGCTGGTTACACTTATAGCAGCGGTCTGACTCCTCTCTGCACTCGTAGGCATAATGACCATAGCTGTTACAGCGGTAACACTTCTCTAGAACAGGTAGAGGGGGGAGGTTTACTTAACTGAGACAGTTTTCAGCTTGAAGATCCTTTTTAGAGTGGATTTAGAACAGATGATCTGCTGACTTACTGATCTGAGGAGTAAGTACGGCTGACCCCACATGAAAGGAAGCTGCTTAATCTACAATGGTCTCACTGCCTCCAAACATGCCATTAATGGATTAAATCTCAGCTCCACGGTTTAATTGCCAGGCCCCTGCTGGGACGACGTGTGTGGAGGCGGGGAGACCATCAGGGGATATTATAAGCAGCTACTATAGTACCCTTTACGTGGGGTTGGCCATATTTAGTCTGCGGATCATCTATTCTGAATGCGGTCTAAGACTTAATCTTCTTTTAAAACCATTTCCAGAAACAAAGTAAAAAGTTGCCCTCTCATAATGGTGTGACTTAAAACAGTTGTATTTTTTTTTTTTTTTTTGTATTCCTACTTCATCATTTCCTACAGTCACAAAACTAGTAAAAGATTGACTTTTTTACATGCATCTGAATGTCAATTTCAGCTTTTCATACAAATTATGGAAATGAATGTGAGTTAGTTGTGATCTGCTGGTCTTACCCCCACGTCGCCCTCCAAAGCCCCCTCTTCTACCACGTCCTCTCCCGCTAAAGGTACGACCACCACCTCCGCGCCCGCCACCTTCATTCCCACACTCCCTTGCAAAGTGGCCAGGTCGTCCACATTTGTAACATACATTTGACATCTTCACACCTCTGAAACAACAGCAAATACCTCACCTGTATTCCACCTGTAGACATATATATACTAGGACATGGTACAAAACTGGCTAGATTTATGGCTCAATAACTTTTGGCATGAAGGGATTTTGGTCTTCATACCTTTTGCAATTATGTTGCTAACAAAATGCAGAACCTGGTGATATTGGAAGTGCACAGTTGAAATAGTGGTACAAGTAGATGGCAAATTCTGAATTCATGCTACATATGTATGCTTCCTATTTTCTAAATATTAATATTAACATCCAAGAACTTCATCATTCCCTCTTAGAACGTACATTTGAACCATTATTTTATGCCACCACAACTTGCACCACAATATATACTGGCAAAGTGCGGGAATCTACTGGTACATCGATGTGTATGGGGGGGGGGGGGGGGGGCTGAGGTAGTAGCAAATTGACTTAATTTCTATTCCACATTAAAAAGCAAACAATCACAATATATAGCGGTACTGCCATTCAATGTCTTCAAACGTTTATGATATAATTTTATTCGGATTGTCATTCTTTCAAAGGGCCACATCCCTGCTAAAACACAGCTGAAGCCTTAAGAGAGTAAACAAGCACGTGGTAATAACAGGAAGCGGCCATTTGCAAAGTGCTCCACACGTCCTGATCAGGTCACGGGTTTACAGCTAGACAGGCTGGGAGGTCTACAATAGACGGTTCAGCAGCACACAAATGTTGTAGTATGTTTTTCACGCAATCTGTCAACTCACCAAAATCTTCCAATTTCCACCTCAGTCGTTTCCTCCTGCACTGCTCGTCTGTCAATGTCAACTGCGCATGCTCATTATGAGAGGGGTTTACTTGAGGGGGGGGGAGGGGTTGACCTGAGCCTTCCACAGCTAGGTCATTTAAAACGTAATTATGAATTCGATCTGCAATCATGAAGTATTTTCATATTTTATTAAATTTTAAAACCAAGCTGCTTCTTTAAATCATTTCATTAACATAAAATAATGCAATTATTAAAATATTAAATCAAAATTTATTGAATTTCTTTGAAATAGTTGGAAGCTAAAACATTATATTTTCTGAGGGCCCAGATGGAATAAATCTTTGCAGATTTAACAGTGTCCCAGGGAATGCGGATTTTCCTTTACTTTCTATAATAAATGGTGCAGTATTTGCTCCTCCATGTGCATACACTTTACGGCATAAATATTTGCACCTGCCTCAGGAGCGGATCCAGAATTTTCTGAAGGGGGGGGTCCTGCTTTTTTAGGGATTGACCGTTCTCGGTTTGTGAGGCCGACCCTCACCCCCTTGGCGTCAGGTTCAGGGCCCGCTCAAAAAAAAAAAAAAAAAAAAAAAAAAGTCAAATGAATGCTAGCAGGTCATTTATACTGCCAAATAAAGGGAAAGTAAGACTTATAAACTGCAAGAAAGGTAACGGCTAATATTTTACAAAGATCTCCATAATTTCTTTCTCTCCACCCACACCCATTAACAGTCATTGAACCCGATTTATTTAACTCCCAAATACATTGATGATCAGCAGTAAGGATGCACACAAGAAATGACAATGTACAAGTAAAATATATGGAAATGTTTTTATTGTTATAAAAAATCATCAGCACCCCTTCACTGCTACCTCAACTCTACGACATGCTGAACACACGAGTTCACACAAGTGCTGCCCCCTACCACCAGCATGCTGTAGGCTTGCTACTTCAGAGATATACCTTCAAAAATATACTTTTAACACAGGATTCAATTGAACTTTTCACGAAATAGCAGTTTTCTAGTGATCTTCTCCAGCTCACAGCTAATAGGCTGCCTATAAAACAGGTCTACAGTAAACCAAGTGACACCCTGCCCCAAGAGACATCTGGTTTAAACTGCTGGCTTCCACGTGTACTTAGTGGGCCTGAAACCACAATCAGTTTACTGTAGACCTGTAGTAACATTACTGTCACCATGACAACTCCAAACTCTTCTGCAACTGATAACTTTTTGATAACAGATACCACACAAACCCTCCTTGCAAATAATACAGCAAAATTTAAAATAGTACTCCACTCTAACTCTCATTTTAATAGTACATATCATCTACGTCGCAGGGAGCTACAAAATGTATGGTACAAATTTATCAAAAAAAAAGCTATGCTATTACATAATACAATATAGAATCAAAATCACCATCACTTATTTCTACAATTGTGTTTATGTATGGAAAATACACCCACTCCATATACCAGCCACTGATGCCACGGGTCATCATTATATTGACAGCACTTTGTAGCCAAATGAGACAAGTTTGAACTTACAGATGAACACAAACTAACCCCTGTTGATGTTTAAATACCTCAAATTGCTGTATCATTGTTTTGCTTTACAGAGTCTGTGTGGCACCTATCTTTTGAACAAACTTCATTTTTCTAATACTTAAAATACTAGACATGAAAATGTGAAAAATAATAATTTATCACTGCTGTCAATTAAGCCTTTAAATTGGACCCCCTTTTACATGAATAGTAGGTCACATTTCACACTGCCAAGACTATGAACAGATTCCTTATCAACAATGACTAAAATTCTACAAATTTAGAAAATAAATCCCTGAACATTTCTTTGGTCTCATTCTGAAATTGTTGTAATTTTTGTAAATTGTCAAAATTCCAATAACAACCAGACTTCCTTAACAACACAGGGGCCATCCCAAAACAACTGTACAGAAAGACAAGCCTGCACATTGTGTGAACAACAGCTCTGTACAACTTGTCTGAGGGAAGTCCCTATACTTTTGGAATGACCCCTCTCTTGGATAAAAATGAACAAAGAAAAGCAATAAATAAGTATACAATACGAAAACAATGAAAATTTACTACAAAAAGCCCTCAAATCATTTTGACTGCATACAAAAATAGCTTTTATTTCCACTTCATCCCTATGCTGAACTCTGACCTAGTGTGCTGCCTTGCCACCAGGTGGCACTGGTATCACAGAGTTCATCACCCCAACATTTGCACTTTAGATATAACCACCCCAACATAACACTTTGCACTTTTAATTAAGACTAGAACAGTGCTTTTAAACCCAAATCCATTAAGTATTCCAGGAGTCCTAAACTGTAGAATAGGGTATGCATGTATCTCAACCATCGAGCGTTTTCTGTGGCAACACTGGCAGAGCAAATAAAGCAACTGGAATTGTATAAGTCAGTACTTCTCTCATAGCAAATGCTGCACAAGCTTAGAAAAAGTTACCCTTAAGTAACCTTATTTGCTGTAATGGGTAAGCCAACATATAAAACGTATATATTTTAAATTCTCAGTGCTATTTATGTACATTTTCGGCACTTGGTTGTTACACCCTGGAAATAACACCTCTCAGTTTAACAGTTTGAGGCCAGTCCTATTAAACCCTCTTTCATTCAGCAGTTTTTGTATCAAGCCTAGTGATGGTTTGAGGGTTTAAAGGAAAGGAGCGGCTCTCCTGGCTTGGAGGTGACCCCCCTCTTGATTTCTTCACACAGCAAATAATTTTTCCTGAACTTAATAAAACAAGAATCACCCCAATGGGAGGTCAATCCCCTCTACTCTGGTACCCATCAACTAGAACTTGGTCTTGCCACAAACTGGTCCAAAATAAAACAACTGTACACTCTTTAATACAATGTGCAAGCTTTTTAGGTTGTTCCTCTCAAAACTCTGCATGGTGCAATTTCTGTTGTACCAAACATTTCAAAATAAATTGAATAAAGAACACTGTCGCAAATAATTTGTGTTTTACTATAAGCAGCAGAAATAAAATAACCTAAGGCACAAAATTGACCAAATAATTAATAATTCACTTATTTTTAATGTCTGAAGTGTAAGAATCAAACGCATAGTACAATATTTGGACTGAACATACCACCCCACCACACTCATTATAGTATAATAAGATCTTTATGTCACCACAACAAATTCTGAGGTCAAAAACTCAATTTTCTCAACATTTCAACAAGACTGGCTTCACTTCATATTCATTTTACTTCAGCCTGTCTTGGAGAGGAGGTCCATCTATACTTCAGCAGTGCATTCACGAGCATAGTGGCCGTACCCCTCACATTTGTGGCATTGGACGTTGGCCATTCCTTCTGGACAATCTCGGGCAAAATGACCTGGCTGTCTGCATCTACAAATATAGAACATGTGGCACATATAAAACACAATTGTTGCATCCAGTAATGCAGTGTAAGATCTAAATTTTTCCACCAGATACAGATGAATATTTCAAACAATCCTTGTGCATCAGTTTAATTAAGGTTTTTCTTTTTTTTTTAACTTCCAAGGATTTATCACCTTTGCCTTTTCTCGATAAGCAGTATTTGGAGTTACTTACTTGTAACACTCGCCGCCACCACTGCCCCTGCCTCTACGACCTCCATCCTGAGAGGAATTTGGGCACTCACGAGCATAATGCCCAGATTCCCCACAATTGTAGCAGTCTCCTCCTCCACGTCCCATGTCTGCGTCAGGGCAGTCCCGTGCCAGGTGACCTTCCTTCTTACACTGGTAACAGGCCTTGCTGCTCTCAGACGGTGGCTCAGGGCAGTCCCGCCTCATGTGGCCGCTCTTGCCACAGTTGTAACATGGACCTGAAAAATAATGCATAGCAAATTATCAATGAAAACAAAATGTCTAAGCATGTACTGCTTATGGAATAAACTAACGTAAAAAGATTAACACTATAAATGCTAACTCCCAAAATCTCATACAGTTCCATAATTCTGCTGCAGTTTTAGAAAATGCTAGAATTACAGAAACTATTTTTGAAAGCAATATTTGCAATTTTATTGCTGCCAAGTTCAACTATAAACAAATTATGATATATAAGTATGAATTTCAGAACAAGGAAAATTGCAATTTAGCTATTAGAAACCATATTCCTTATATCTGCACAATTCCCACTTGTCCACACATTTGGAAACCAACATCCAGAAGATTGGATTCCATAAAAGCTGCCACCTTTCCAATGTCTTTGGTCTTCTACCTCACACAAACTAACAAGACTAATTTACCCTTGCACTGGGCCGACAAAAAAAAAAAAAAAAAATCTTCCACTCCAAGATAGTTCCACTGCAGTTGAAGCACCTGATCCAAAAAAAGTCTATACATCCACATTTTATTCTACAGCTAAAAATGTGTTATTTGTAGATCTATTGCTTCCAAAAGTGGTTCACGAACCATACTGAATTTCATAAGGGCGTTCCTTTTCAACAAGGTCCCAAGCTGGTGGTATTTTTCATCAGCTATGTGATCCTTCTTGGTGCTCTGGCAGGGCTCAATGGCCGAGGCAGTTGCAGCAATAACATATATTCTCTGAAATGAACATGGAGGCGATGCTTAACCAAGGTTTCTTAGAAACCACATCCTGCCTTCCTCTGCCTTCTCTCCCTTTTCTGCGCCTTTCGCCACTTCACACTACCTCTCCATGCACAAGTCTGCCATTTATGTTCAATAACTTGTCTCTTCTCTTTAGTTCATACACATAAAAACAACAACTGTAAGTGTCTCATATAAAAAGACACTTGACAACTGTTTTTTTTTTAAATCTGACATTCAAAATAAATCCTGAATAAGAACATAAAAGGTTCCAATAGGGCACTTGTGCATGAAGGAACAACAACATGGTTTATAACATTAATCAAGAACTGATAATGAACTCCACTGACTCAAACCATGTCAACTATGGCCACAGCTTGAACCTCTGATATCATCAATGATTCTAATACAGGGTTAGATTTTTTGATACACCACAGAACAAAGGACCAGGGCTCCTTGAGACTTGGCATTAAAATTAAGTTTGTAATTTTTATAAACTGATGCAGTGCAAGATAATGTGGTCAAAGTTAATAGAGTAACATGAAAATGTCTTTCCCTGTAGCATGTTGATTTAAAAGAATTTCTTACTTTATTGCCTTATTATCTACATAACCATTATCCTCCTGGGCTATACTCACCTCCGCCACCACCACGTCCTCCGAAGCCTCCACTCCTGCCTCGACCTCCGCGACTTGTACATTCTCTAGAAAAGTGGCCAGGTTTACCACAGTTATAACAAGCTCTGTCTCCCATAGCTACTTCACCTCTGCAAACCAATGGAGGAAAATGTATGAGTAAACACCAAGATCCCTTTTAGATGGACACTAGACAACAAAAATGAAGTCCTTTATCAAACAAAATGACTTATTAATGGCCCCTATTATTTAAAAAGCACTGTACAAGAATTGCCTAAAACTTGGGTTCAACCTCTCAATTCCTGAACTAGCACAACTACTAACAGTTTAATCTCAGACTGATTTCATGGGTTTTGTTGTAAGGGCTACTTAACTTGAACTGAAGTGCGTCTGTTCCCACACTTTAAAAGAATCATGGTAACATCGCAGAGACAACGAGAAAAGTTATCACACAATATTTAAGTTAGAAATACATACTGGGGCAGCACAGGATTCAAACAACTGCACATGCACGAAAAACGCACTGTTTGAAATAAACAATAGTGAAACTGACAAAGCCGCATCGGTTTTTACAGTCTGGTTGATATTATTTAATTTGCTTTCTGGTGTTGCTTTAAGAAGTTATATTAGAAATGTTCTGTTGACTGTATGTATCAAAAAGTAAATCCATTGGACTTTCCTCAGAAAAACATTTATTTTGCCTTCATTGTAAGGGGATTTCCTTTGTATTTATAGTGTTATACGTGGCCCCAAGGGGATTTTCCACCCCTCCCCCACTCTTGATTGATAAAATGCTCCATATGGTAGATTGAAAATGATATAGCATTTAAAATCGTAGAAAGGTTAATTGCAGATAATGCTGCGAGGATATTCTTATGCGACATCGAACTCAGCCAATATAAAATTTTTAACTTCCGTCTTTGGGTTTTAGAGAGCCAGTTCTAATTTTTGAAAGTGAGGCAATAGAACCAAACAGTACGATACAATTTGTAATCTAGTAAAAACTGATATTTGTTAATAAAAGTCATAGCATGACATACATCAAAAGGCAACTTGTTTATTATCGTGATGTTCAATAATCATAAAAATGTACAATATAAGGTACTTTTGTAGTATACCCCCTACCCTGTAACTTAACTTTTCAAGCAGTTTTTTTACAGGGTTTTTACACTTTTTCTTGTTCATCTATGTCACAGCTGTTTAAATAAAATGCTTTTGTAATTACCTGTGGTCTTTTTCAAGTTTTAGTCACGTTTAAGCTACAGTGTGGGAGCATAGTACAAAAGTACCCAATATAATACGTTCTTAAGCAAGGCCAATTTATTATAGCTTAATTGATTATTTTTAGAATTTGGAGATTAAAAACACCAGAGTTGTCTGGTTTCATATCGAGGCTCCATATTTTGTTCCTGTCCTTACGGGTGCACGACTACTGAATATAAATACCGCCGCGGAGCGTCCATCGCCAGGACTTGAAGAACTGGGCAACTTTACTGAACGATCAATGTATGAAATCAACTGTGATATATCGTATAGAAAAATCCACCAATACAAATAGTCAATATTACTACAAACTACAACTTTTCTATAGCATATTGCACAACGTACAAAGTAGAAGTATGCTTTCCATACCACGTGGTTTAGGAAGCTGCCATTTGCAATATTTGGACCATGCTCTCTTTCCTACAGGCTATGGGNGAAAAGTCCACAGGTAATTACAAAAGCATTTTATTTCAACAGCTTTGACATAGATGAACAAGAAAATGTAAAAAACTGTTTGAAAAGTGAAAGTTACAGAAAGTTACAGGGTGGGGGGGTATACTACAAAAGTACCCAAAAGTACCCAATATAATACGTTCTTAAGCAAGGCCAATTTATTAGCTTAATTGATTATTTTTAGAATTTGGAGATTAAAAACACCAGAGTTGTCTGGTTTCATATCGAGGCTCCATATTTTGTTCCTGTCCTTACGGGTGCACGACTACTGAATATAAATACCGCCGCGGAGCGTCCATCGCCAGGACTTGAAGAACTGGGCAACTTTACTGAACGATCAATGTATGAAATCAACTGTGATATATCGTATAGAAAAATCCACCAATACAAATAGTCAATATTACTACAAACTACAACTTTTCTATAGCATATTGCACAACGTACAAAGTAGAAGTATGCTTTCCATACCACGTGGTTTAGGAAGCTGCCATTTGCAATATTTGGACCATGCTCTCTTTCCTACAGGCTATGGGGAAGAGTCAGTCACGTTATTTAAATTCAAGACTAGAACACTGTATAAAATGTAATCATTTTTACGCCAGCAACTTCCACAGATAAATACGCTTACCACTTGCGCTTACTTATAAGAATCTTCTTATGACCTCCGCCTTTCTCTACTATTCCTCCCCGCTTTTCTTCTTCACAGAAAGCTGTTTTTCCCGCATGTGACCTCATGCTGCACACGGCCAATTATACAAATTTTTGGTTGCGTGCCGTGTGCATCCCATTAAACAGTACGGCAGAAAATCAGAGGGGGCGTGACATATTCTTCCGTAATAGGAATGATTGACGTGTATATTTGACACATATGCATAAGAAGTAGGTTAAAATCTCGAGCAAGGTCACGTGCGTGCTCAAGGACATGTGTATACCTTCACGTTTGCTAAATGCTAGTGTGTCGTTATCTAGATAAAGAGTGTGGTCGACATTAAGCCAACGTAATTTTTTAGAGTTACAATAACAAAGATGGTTTAAAATGGAACCGAAAACCTTTTTTTTTCAGCGGGGGTGGGTGGGAGTTTACTAGTACTTAGCTTTTGTGTACCGTTGTAACAGGAAGTCCGGGCTCCCATATGATTAGTACAGGTTATTAGGTTTAGCTAGTGTATGGGACGAATATCACCTGTACAAAGTATTGGGAAACGGACTTCGGTTCCCAGCGGACTTCCATGCCTGTTACACCGGGTAAAATTGTACAAACCCGACGACTGAAATGACATTTTAAACCGACTTAAAACTTCTTTCCTGGTGTCACAATTAATATAACAATTAGATGTCCAGAAAGTGCAGAAAAAATTATTTCAATTTGGGCAAGTACAGAATGATCTGGAATACTGAATGTTTGTGAAAAGGTGGTGGCGAGGTCAATACACCAGTATACTAATATTATGGCTATTAGCAAGTTATTGGCTATTATAGGAATTAAGAAGCTTGGAGTGAGTGAGAACTAGTAGTTGCTGTCCGTGGTTTTTTAGACTGGGTTCCTTACCTAGATCCACCTAACTGGATTGACCCATCTCCAAGGGGTTTCTTACTAAATTGCCTTTACCTTAAACAGCCTTATGTCTGGCACGCCAACTGAAGCTGCTAAACGATAATTAATTACCCTCTACCAGCTTCAGTGGGCATCTGAGACACCTAAGCTGCTTAAGTTGATAGCAATTTAGTGAGAATTAACCCCCTTGAAGATAGATCGATCCAAAGTACATACAATAGTCTCTGGGAATGGTCTCTTACAAACTGTAATGATACGCGGGCTCTGACCATGCAGATCCATGCATTAGGCAGCTGTATTGCCCGTCTTGCAGGATAATTGAGGTTTTTGAAAATTCTATGCAGAGATTGAAGTATATCTTTGACAGACATTATACGGATTTAATTCATCATACTGGAATTTTTTTTTTTTTTTTTTTTTTTTTGTAACAATAAAGTATGTACGTCACCTGTGCTTTGAGGAAACTGAGCAATAAATAAGTTATAGTTGAGTAATTGTAGTAGTTTCTCAATAAATAAGTTATAGTTGAGTAATTGTAGTAGTTTCTAAATCTTCTCAATTGGGAAATATATAATTTTACTGCTACCATGTTTTTCTAACATCATAAATTCTAAAAATTTATTACATTCTAACTGTTTCAGGTAGCAATAGAATTGAAATGTACGCTACCTTACGGTTCTACTCTTTACCATAAAAGCACAACGAATGCAGCACATGTAGAAATTTTTTTTAATGATTTCAAAATGTTTCTAAAAATCTGATAACTGATCACCATTAACAGCTGAAACTGTTTGTATTTTATATCTCAGACATAATTTTTTTTTTTTTTTTTGGTCTGTGCACAGATGGATTTTGGTGAAATTTTTAGGAAGGGTCACAGATGGTCCAAGGAAATGATGAGACTGGTGATAATCTGTTCATTAACTAGTAATTAATTAATTAAATAGTTAATGAAGTAATTAATTACTTACACATTTAATGAAATCTTCAAGGATAGGTCACAACTGTACCAAGGAATGAAAGTATACAAATGTGAGAGACAGTTGCTCACCCCTTACTAGTTAGACATACAAATGTGAGAAACAGTTGCTCACCCCTTACTAGTTAGACATACAAATGTGAGAAACAGTTGCTCACCCGTTACTAGTTAGACATACAAATGTGAGAGACAGTTGCTCACCCTCTCGTGATCGATTGATGAATGATGAAGTGACGTGACAGGATCCACGAAAATAGTTAGGCGATTGACGAAAATAGTCACTGTAGATGAGAAATGTTTGACAATTAAATTGAAGAAAATGGATATTGAATTTATGATAGGCTTGTTTAAACTCGAAACTGAATCGATGGAAAGGCAGTGAATTGACAAAACATGACTGAATCGATGAAGCATGACTGAATCGACGTCTTGGATTTTTGCCCTTTTGGCCGCCCATAATATGTTAAGCAAACTCAAAAAATAAATGTCCATTTGAAATCCAGATACTGATGGAAATCTTATTCCCCAAATGCTGAGCAACAAACCATGCGGATTGTTTGTGTGTTTTATACCTACTCAGGCTTGCAAACTTGCAATATACCTAAATTTATTTCTAACTGCTATGATTTATAAGATCCTCTCTGCTTAAATGAGTGTTCTATCTTGCAAGATGCATCTTGTTCCGTCAATTTGGAGCTTGATCTGCTTGAGACAGTCTTCATACCACGTCGCCAGGCCAGGTGGTGCCAGTCTTCCTACCACGTCGCAAGGCCAGGTGGTGCCAGTCTTCCTACCACGTCGCCAGGCCAGGTGGTGCCAGTTTTTATACCACGTCGCAAGGCCAGGTGGTGTCAGTCTTCCTACCACGTTGCCAGGCCAGGTGGTGCCAGTCCTACCATGTCGCCAGGCCAGGTGGTGCCAGTCCTACCACGTCGCCAGGCCAGGTGGTGCCAGTCTTTATACCACATCACCTGGCCAGGTGGTATGGTGCAAACAGTCTCCTCCAGATTGTAGCCACAAAAGAAATGAACATTTTCCCTGGCTTGGTCCACCCACTACCTGAAAAGAATAAATAGGGATGTAGAGTTGTTTTTTTTTTGCTTTTAATTTTTGATGAAGTTCCTTTTTAATGTTCTCTGTGTGATATTGTGGTAATTCAAACACAATTATCTTAAAGCAATTTAAGCCAAAAACTCATATTTAATGAAATTCCCCAGAGGTTAAATGGCATTTTCCACCAACTTTTAATTTTCCTTTTCTGACACTCTGTAGCAATTTTGGAAAAAGCAAAAGGTCAAACCTGCACTTAAGAGCAGGTTTTCCAGAAACACCATTCATTTCAATCTGGAGACTCTCTTTTCTACTGTAAGTCAGTGCAATTTCCCTTCATTCTACAAAACTTTTTAAAATCCACCCAACGCATGTACATACACACACCAAACATGGGGAAACTGCTGTATTGACCGTCCTGACCACCAGACATGGGGAAACTGCTGTATCGACCGTCCTGACCACCAGACATNTCTTTATACCACGTCACCTGGCCAGGTGGTATGGTGCAAACAGTCTCCTCCAGATTGTAGCCACAAAAGAAATGAACATTTTCCCTGGCTTGGTCCACCCACTACCTGAAAAGAATAAATAGGGATGTAGAGTTGTTTTTTTTTTGCTTTTAATTTTTGATGAAGTTCCTTTTTAATGTTCTCTGTGTGATATTGTGGTAATTCAAACACAATTATCTTAAAGCAATTTAAGCCAAAAACTCATATTTAATGAAATTCCCCAGAGGTTAAATGGCATTTTCCACCAACTTTTAATTTTCCTTTTCTGACACTCTGTAGCAATTTTGGAAAAAGCAAAAGGTCAAACCTGCACTTAAGAGCAGGTTTTCCAGAAACACCATTCATTTCAATCTGGAGACTCTCTTTTCTACTGTAAGTCAGTGCAATTTCCCTTCATTCTACAAAACTTTTTAAAATCCACCCAACGCATGTACATACACACACCAAACATGGGGAAACTGCTGTATTGACCGTCCTGACCACCAGACATGGGGAAACTGCTGTATCGACCGTCCTGACCACCAGACATGGAGGAACTGCGGTATCGACCATCCTGACCACCAAACATGGGGAAACTGCTGTATCGACCGTCCTGACCACCAGACATGGGAAAATTGCTGTATCGACCGTCCTGACCACCAGACATAGGGAAACTGCTGCATCGACCGTCCTGACCACCAGACATGGGGAAACTGCTGCATCGACCGTCCTGACCACCAGACATAGGGAAACTGCTGCATCAACCGTCCTGACCACCAGACATAGGGAAACTGCTGCATCGACCGTCCTGACCACCAGACATGGAGGAACTGCTGTATCAATCGTCCTGACCACCAGACATGGGGAAACTGCTGTATCAACCGTTCTGACCACCAGACATGGGGTAACTGCTGTATCAACTGTCCTGACCACCAGACATGGGGAAACTGCTGTATTGACCGTCCTGACCACCAGACATGGGGTAACTGCTGTATCGACCGCCCTGACCACCAGACATGGAGGAACTGCTGTATCAACTGTCCTGACCATCAGAAACGCCTGAAGACCGGCAAGATTTTGAAGTGCAGGACCGCTGGACTTTCAGGACCTTCAAAGAGTTCCCCATGTCTGACACACACACACACATATACTGCTTTGAGAGTTTACAACTTCACCTACCTTTGTTGCATCTCTTTACGAGTACTGCAGTCATGATCACAGCAATAACCAGCACCATGGGTAGAGTAGGTCTACTGTGATATAGGTACTTCCATAACTGTATTATCACATGTTGGGACAATGTAGCTGAAATAGTAATAATAATAATAAGTCAAGATCACAGTATAATAACCAGCACCATGGGTAGAGTAGATCTACTGTGATATAGGATATGTTTAATGATGATAAAGTTCAGTGTTAAACAATGCTTATATATTAATATTTCCAAATCTTCTGAATTCTAATCATTAATCACAAAACAATGGCATATTTCTGTAATTTTAACTATGATATTCAGTTGTTCAGCTTGGGATAACAAAACACTATATCTGATAAACTATGCTATACTATGTACAGTTGTAAAACTAACCACTGTTAGCCACATCCAGCACATTACTGCGGGGGTCCTGCTGCTTAAAAGTGCTCTTTTCCCTGTCTTCTTCCTCCTGTGCCTTCCTTCTATCTAAGACTTGTTTTCTCTTCTGATACTTAGACAGTAGACCTTCTTTTTGAGTTTTCTCTAATCCCAGACATGTGTTCAAGAAGGGCTCAATGCTGTCCCAGCGTCCTTGGGGTACTAATACAAACTGGACCAAAGTGTCTGCCATGGCAGCATACAGAGGGTCTTTGTGGTTTTCTGGAAGTTTCAGCCATATACTGGCTATAGCACTACATGTGGTGAAGTCCTGGACCCTACTGTGAAGCAGTATACTGAAAGAACAGACACACTCCTATATATATATATATATATATATATATATTTATATATATATATATATATATATACTGGCTATAGCACTGCATGTGGTGAAGTCCTGGACCCTACTGTGAAGCAGTATACTGAAAGAACAGACACACTCCTATATATATATATTTATTTATACATATATATACAAATGTATATTTATTTATACTGGCTATAGCACTACATGTGGTGAAGTCCTGGCAATTACATGTAGGCAGTAAACGCAGGGAAAGTCCATTCTTTGATATCACCCCATGTGTGGTGATATCAACGTGTTCTATTCAAAGTTAGGGGTTTGGGGTACCCGCACGATTTCCCTTAATTTCTATGTATGACAAATAATGCACTGTTACCCCCTCGCCCGATATACTTAACAGCATGCTTCGCTGGCGCTCGGCATGCTATCGTGATACCAGGCTCGTAGACAGTGCATTATTTACTACATATACCCACCACAACTGTACAATTCTGGCAGGGCAGCCTTCTATCCCAGCATACAGAGCTGTCACGTAAGGCAGCACTTCTTCCCATTTATTTAACTCGGCATACGCCTGGACTGCTAGCATACAGCAAGATTCACGGTAAATGCTGTTGGAGAAAAAAATAAAAAACCTGATAAAATGACTCTATTTTAGTTCTGTATATACTGACTACTAGTATTTATTTTCATCACAGAAGAGGCCAATAAACCATGCAAATTTTCATATACAAATAAACAGGAAAGAAGATATCAAATGAGTCTACATTTGAACCCAGTACCTGCTGCTCTCCCCACTTCCCAGGTTGTTTACTTCATCTACTACCTCCTGGCACAAATCTAGACAATCTTCGAATCTTTTGTATATCAACAGATCGCCAGCATCTTTCAGTTTTCGTGCAATGTCAATTTTTGTCGGAAAAGAACAGTATTTTTCTTTTTGTTCGGTAATTTTCTCACGAACTGCACCAGCCACTGCCATTGCACTGGAAAAAGACCCTGACCTTTGACCTTTCTAAAATCAAGATGGCTGCGCCCATGTAGACCACCTGTGTACGACTGCTGCCTCCTCCTCGCTTGAAAAGATCGCCAGAGGAATAAAATGGCAGGTAAAAATGGGACACTGGGATAATAACTATAAGGGATTAAGTTGTTGTAGAATAAAACATTGATGTAAAATTGGAGAAGTTCTACGTGTATAGAAACTGCATTAATCATGTCAGACTCAAAGACGTCATGTTTTACGAGCTCAGCCGAGTCAGTATACATAATAATATTATTAGTAAAATTATAATATGTGCGAGTTTGCTAATACCACTGCGACTACATGTATTTCCATCCAGCGACTGTAAATTATGGAACTATTATTCATTTAATTGTAAATGGAATGTGATTCATTTTCGTGTTTTTGGAGTTAATAACTTAATTATATTAACTGAAAAGTTCACAATAAAATACATAAGTAAAATCGATTTTTATTGTAATTTTAGGTATTTTTCCTCCATCATCAAAGTGAAGCCTTTAGTGCAGTCAACACGTACCAGTGGCACATTCAGCACATCCAACATGTACAGAAGGATTGTCAGCAAGGGGAAGGCTGAGTATTTCTACCTACATGTCACATTGTGAGTAGAAAATAGATTTGAACCGCATCTAAGTTGATTAAATGTATGGACGTATTAAATATAATACTCTTTCTGAACACATAAGATTTTTTATTGAAACGTAAAAAAAATTAAAGAAGTTAACACATTTTTATACTCAACAAATTAGGACATAGTATTATGTACAAATGTAAGCTATGGAATGATTTGATCTTTACATTGACATGGCAGCTGACCCTTCGATAAACAAGACATGCATATTTGTTAAGTTGTATCAAGGATATTTACTACTTAATTAGTTACATCACCTTATTTTGTTGGGAATGACTGTTCCCTGTATCAACTTGTGACCTCACTCGCTTTTTTTTTCCAGTGTATTGTACTGTGTTGCGCTTTTTAAGTCTGACCCCTATAAAAGATATTCAATAATATGTACCCACATATTGTACATGTACTTCTATTCTATACACCACAAATGCTACTTAGTATATAGAAATATGATTTCATTAAAATGATTCAAAAATGATGTATCTGAAAGATCCCCCAGCTAGAATGGGAGCCCCGGCTGCCCACGGGTTCCCAGGCTGCCAAAGAGACTGCCAGGGAGACTGCCCTTTTGCAGTCTGGGGCTCTAGTGTGCAGTCTCCTTGAGTAGGCAGACTGCAATAACTTAAACATTTTTGCAGGAGACTGCAAAGGGGGCTGCAAAAACTTCAACATTTTGCAGGAGACTGCAAAGGAGGCTGCAATAACGTAAATATTTTGCAGGGAACTGCAAAGGAGGCTGCAATAACTTCAACATTTTGCAGGAGACTTCAAAGGGGGCTGCAATAACTTAGAATATTTCACAGGGGACTGCAAACTAAACTGAAATAACTGACATTTTCAACGTTGGCCAACGTATGCAATAAACAACCCAATAGTTATTTAAAAAGTGTTTCTATCCGCAATTGAGAAGCACATGTGCTAAACTTTTGATTACTAACTAAGTGATGTTTTATATTTTTTTAATTTTTTATTTTCTATTAAATATTTTAGATTTATATTTTTTTAATAATGCTGTGAAAATATCCTTTATTATTGCTATAATTTTCATTGAAATCAGACAAATAATTGAAGTCTTATGATAATATACAATTGCATAATATATAAATTTTTAACCTCACAGTTAGCATCAATTTAAGTTGGACTTGTGATTAAAATTAACTGGTAACTTTCAAAACCAAATTCATTTCAAGCCAGGGCCATGTTTATCTTAACTGTCAGCTTGATATAAACAGTTCACCTACAGCTTGCCCAATGAGGTCAAATAACTATACAGCACAGGCAGTAGTACATGACCGTTGAGCTAATTAATTCAAAACTCTAAGCCAGAAGCTAGGTCAGAAATGTTCTAAGGAAGAGGCAAGAAATCTGAAAACATTGATTTCTGGATTGAAAAAGCTAGAAGACATTTTTAGGAAATGCATGTAGAAAGAAAAATGAAGA